GATGATGATGATGATGATGATGATGATGATGATGATGATGATGATGAGGAGGAGGAGGAGGAGGAGGAGGAGGAGGAGGAGGAGGAGGAGGACTTCCAGCCACGCCGAGGTACAAACCGGGCGACCAGACCGTGGAGCTGCTGAAGGCGATCGGAGGCGACAACAAGGCGGCCAAGGATGATGATGATGGTGATGAAGGTGGTGGTGATGATGATGCTGATGATGAGGAGGAGGAGCATGATGACGACGATGATGATGATGCTGATGATGATGATGCTTGTGATGTTGACGACGATGCTGCTGCTGTTGCTGCTGCTGCTGATGACGATGATGATGATCCTGATGGTGATGCTGATGGTGATGCTGATGCTGATGCTGCTGATGATGCTGACGATGTTGATGCTGATTATGATGCTGATGCCTATGGTGATGCTGCTGATGATGATGCTGCTGATGCTGATGATGCTGATGCTGATGCTGATGCTGATGCTGCTGATGATTGTTGATGAGGACGATGATGATGACGTGTTGATTGGTGATTTTGATGATAATGGTGGTGATGATGGCTGAATGATGCTGCTGCTGATGATGATGACGTTGATGTGCTGGACGCTGATGCTGATGTGCTGATGCTTTTGCCACTGGTGATGTGTATGACTATGATGGATGAGGAGGAGGAGAATGTAGGAGGTGGAGAAAGTAGGATGCGAGGAGGAGGAGGAGGAGGTGTGTGGACGGAGGAGGAGGAGGAGAAGATGTCTGTTGTTGGAGGAAGGAGGTGGATGAGGAGGTGTTCTCGGCGTGGATTGCTCGTTGGACCGATGGCATGACCGTGCGCGGCAGTATGGAGGCCGGGCAGCCACATGCAGCGCGCGCCGGCAATCCACCCGTGTGGGGTTCGACGGGCAGGCCCAGGCGTACGTCCCGCGCAGCCTCCATCAAAATGAGCTTTATCTTTCCTCCTCCTCCTCCTCCTCCTCCTCCTCCCTCCTCCTCCTCCCCCTCCTCCTCCTCCTCCTCCTCCTCCTTCTTCTCCCTCCTCCTCCTCCTCCTCCTCGGCTCGAAGGAGCGCCTGACATTCCGAGGTTGGGAGACGGCTGGACGAGCTGCAGGGCGCGTTGACGTGAAGCACAGGTCGGTCGTTCCTGCGCAGACACTTTCTGCACGCGGCCGACTCCACGTGAGCGACGGAAGAGGACGGGGTCGATTGCGCAGACGTTTGCCTGTGAGCTCCCCGCGTAAGGCCGCGCCTTAGCGCCCTCTTCTCCACGCGGTGTGCCACGCTGGCGGCCCGCGTAAGCCGCGGCATAAGGTCGCTATTCAGGAGGGGAAGGAGCACATTGACACACTGAATCATCGATTCCCCGGAAAAGATGGGAACACATGGGAAGGCAGAAACCCACAAATACTGAAGACATATGGGACATCCTCTGATGTGTGTCTACTTATGTGTGTGTCTGCGTCTTTTGGCCCCTTTGGCTATGTCCTCTTGCGTAAGACCCTATTCTTTTCGTGGCTCACAGCACTACGGCCGATGGCATGCGGGCGCGCGACCCTTTGCGACAGGACCTGCGGTCCTCGGATCTCACGGGCGCTGGACCGGATTACAGTCAGCCTGTATAATGATGATGGGCAACCTTCCCAAGAGTACCCTTGCATCCTTGCCTCCTCGGTCCACCCTTGGCTACTGCCGTTGGCCGCGCACCACCCGAAAAGCTTCGAGATGGGCGTCCAAGGCCCTTGCATCCTTATTGCGCATCATTGTGATACGGGCCGACTGTACACGCCGATCGTTGAAAGTAGGTGTTTTTGGATTCCCAGATCCCAATCTGCTTCAAGCGCCTTCCTACTTCCAGAATCGACATGCTTTTGCTGTGTTTTGTTATTCTCTAGGAGGACATGGACCCAATCCACTATATCCGCCTTCCTACTTCATGTTTCTACTTACTTCTTCCGACCGACGTGTAGCCTTGTCCATGATACTTGCAAGCTGGAACATATACACTGCCAGTGGCGGGCTGTTTTTCAATCCCGCGACTTGTTAAGGGTCTGGGGCGACGTCGGGGTGGTGTGGTGTATACGTTTCCCCCGTTTCTCAAGGGAAGCAACGAAACATGTATACACCAGGAGCCCGTGTGCGCCAGACTCCGCGTTCCAGTGCGAGCTTCAGCGCAGGATCGGGGAAACAGCGTCGGTGTATATAGAGTTCGGTTCCCTAGTACGGGCCGACGTGCAGCCTTGGGGTCTCAGGGTTGGGTCTTCTTGTGGAAGCCTTCTTCCTAAAAGCGGCCGCCGTTGCGGCGGCCGCCATTGTGGCGGCGGCGCAATCACAACCGAGGAGGAGGAGGTGGAGGAGGAGGG